TTTTTTTCTTTTAAGTTTTGTATTTGACTAGAACTGCTCATATTACGGTGTTCAGCTTTGTTATTCCTTCTTATCAGTCAAGAAATGAACCATTATTTTACACACATGTTAACCCTCTACAGGGCACTCCTGGAAATACTTGGAAAATGAACTTTTCAACTCCAGGTTGTTATTGAAGGATATTACAAGATATTTTTACTTTTGTGACTTTTGTGACTGCAAATAAAGATACCATATACGGTAACTTGCCCGTCTATGACTAAAAAAAGGGAATTTATGATAAATAAAAGAAAAAGCAACAAACTGCAAAAGACTTAGAAACATTTATAGGTAATGATACTTACACAACCAGTACCAAAGTATTTATAAAGTGCTCGGTAAGTTCATTTGTCATATTTTTCTTGGTTTTGGCACTTATTTCAAAAACTAATCTGTAAATCAAAGTGGAGTTCAATGCAAACCAGTAACAAAGCGTTTATGAAGCACCTGGAACATTTGTTTAGTGACATTTTTCTTAAGGTAGTGATATTGGCACTAATATAAAAACTAAATCACACAGGAGGGACATACTAAACATCCAAGGAAGTTACCAACATGGTCCCTTGCCCCGTAAAGGGTTAAAATATCGGAATGGTAAGTAAATGATGTAGCACTTTTCTACCTTAGTGGTACTGAAAGCGCTTTACAATGTGTTTCTCATTCACACACATTCATACACCAACGGCGGCAGAGCTGCCATGCAAGGTGCTGCCTGCCATTGGGAGCAACTTCGGGTTCAATGTCTTGCCCAAGGACACTTCAGCTGTGGAGGGGTGGGGCATCAAACCTCACAATTAGAGAACGATCCGCTCTGCCACTTGAGCCACAGCTACCAGCTGGAATGTACACAATTACAATAAAGCTACATTTTCAAAATAAAATAAAGTGTAAATGTAGGTGTCAGTTATGTCGACATATAACTCTACAAAATAAAACTTCCAAGCGAGCAGGGTTCCTCGTTTATCTCTAGAGTTCCTTGAGGTTGTAGTAAATCAAAGAGAGTATCAGCGAGTGACTACAATTGCTTCAAAATGCTGTTGCCGGGCTTTTAACACCTACGGAGGTAAGAAACCATATTAACACTAATCTACGCTGCTTTGACTGGTTCCTGCTGAGTCGTAGAGCTGATTTTATGATCTTCCTGCTTTGATAACCCTTTGATTAGCCGATATCTGTGATCTACTAACTCCCTATGAGTCGCTCCTGAGATCCTCCATCATGCTAGAAGTTCTAATGTCTTGGACTTGTCACTATGTATGACCAGGCTTTTGTTGTTCCCTTCATGAAGATCTCAGACAGGAAAACTTAACATCTTCTTTTAAATGTCTTCTTAATACTTACTCTTAATACTTAATACTTTCATCACATGGCTTATTTTCAACTGGATCTTATTTACTTGAAATATCTGTTTTTGTGGGGACATGCTCAGCTGCTCTGTGCTGAATTTTGCTCTGACTTTCCCACTTTTCCATTCTATGTTGTAATTCGGGAATGAAAACAGTTAAATGTTCATCCTGGTATTAAACCTTTGTAACCAACACAACTAGAAGGTTTAATAACAGGAATAGTTCAAAGCCATCAGCTGTGATGTGCCAACAAGTGTTCCTATGAAGGTGCGATACTGAGACTGTTGTACATGTAAAATCATGCAGTAAAGTCTAGAAACGCTGCTGAACTGGTCACAGCCAGTTACAAATAAATCATTAATAAATCAATAAAATACAATCAAGTCATGAGTGGGCCGAGCAGCAAAGCTTAATCGATGTTAAAAGGATTTAATTTATTGTGTTTTTAAATGAGCTCCTGTCTGGCAAATGAATAACGGGTCAATTATGAGTTTTAATGTGACTTTCGGAGAAGAATAATTAGTGCTCTGATGTTTCCTGAAGAATGAAGAACAAGTTTGGCAGAATCGTTCATCCCACACCTTGTGATTCACACAGAACATTAAACTGTCTTTAATACGACCCAGATAGAGCCTGAAGAAGACCACAAGCCATTAGTTTTTACACTGCAAGACTCGCTGGACTTTGTACCTCTGCTTTCCTTCTCTGTGCACCTTTAAAGCAGCTGATCCTGAAGCCTGCTCCACTCTGCACCACCATGAGGGGATTCAGGCTGCTTTGACTAGAACTAAACACTAGATGGCGGAAGTACCATTCAAACGTGCTGCTGTGCGACTGCATCGGCGTGTGGATGAGAATACAAATCCACAGAGGCCTTCTGCTTTGACGCCACAATCAGCTTCCTGAATAAACAACCAAAACATACACACAGAATATGACTGCGTCTGACTGCAAGATGTTAGAATGGAGAGTTGTACTGGGAGGTCCACGAGAAACAAGACCATAAGAACGTCAGCAGAATAATTTACATTTAAATGCACGGCATCACTTCTCTGTTTACTTTGTTGATATCTGGACATGCAGATGCATTTGGTTTCATTTGCACAATCTCATCAGTACGACTTCTAACCAAAGAAAATGATCCTCTTTTCTGTTGTGTAGCAGTAAAGAGAAGTGAAGGGACACTTTCCATCCAGCGCAGCGAGACGCTTTTCTGTTTAGTAGTTTGCTGTATAACAGTGAGTCAAAATTATAAGA